GCAACTGCACGATCAGCTCTGACACAGGCTGCCCCGGGAAGAGGTCCCCGCCAGCCACCATTGCTCCTTCTTCAAACACAGCCAGTCATTCCAGGCATTTCCCCTGCCCTTGGCCAGGCTCACCCCACGCGCTCGCCAGGCTTGCCGGGCTGGGCGTGGTTAAGTACTCCTGGGGTTTGATTTCGAAATTATGCTCAGGAGGCTCTGAGAGCTGCCAGCCCTCGTGGTGGTCGTAGAACCAGCTGGGCCAGGCTGCTGTAGTTGCTATGACAGGGGCACAGCGCCCGCCCTGCCTCACCTGAGCTCAATCCCGGATGGCCGTGACGCCGTTGCCCCATTTTGCTTCCATTAAAAATGTCTGTGTATTTCCAACCCTCAGCCACCGGCTTCCACCAGTGGAGGCAGCCTGAGCCCTGGGACTCCCCTGAGAGGAGAGGGACGCTGGCCTGGGCGGTGAGAGGCCCGGATGCTGAGACCGCACCCCTAGGATCGCCCTGGCTCAGCCTGACTAGCTCTCGCTGGCACCAGCAAAGCCCCCTGGGCCACAGCATCAGCCACCAAACGGGAGCAGGAAGCCGGCCTCAGTGGGTCTCCCCATGCTGTGCGCTTCCTCCTCAGCCAGAGGGAGCCACTGAGGCGGATGGAGGGGAGGGGAGGGGAGGGGAGGGCGGTGCGCGATGTGGTCTCACTAGGCGCCTCCCAAAGCCGGTGCTGGGAGCCACCGCTGCTGGGCCTTTCAAGGCCAGGAAACGAGTTTCATTGGTTTGGTTTGGTTTAAGGGAGACACATCAGAGTTCACACTGACATTTATGAATAAATTCAGGATGAAAGGGCTTTCTCATTTGGTCTTATTTGCATATATCGTTGCGTCTCCCCTTCATCTCTTTTCAAGCATTTAATTGGCCACAGATTAAAGAGGGGACGCTCCTTAGTCTAAATGCTACGTGCTCCTTCTTCAAACACAGCCAGTCCTTCCAGTCATTTCCCCTGCCGTTGGCCCGGGAGCTAATTAGACCTCAGGGTAGTTCACCTGGACCTGATCCAGGTGAGGCTCACCTTGTCCTGACCAGCTCGCCGAGGCTGTGTCACAGGTGCAATGCCGTCCTCATCCTGGGAAGCCTGTGCTGTGGGTGGTCGCTGGGCTCGGCACGGCGGGAACCTGTGCACCTGTGTGTTCATACAGCGTCGCACGGGCAGGGGACACGTGATGAGTGGGTCGTGGGACGAGAAGAGGCTGCGTCCTGCTGGACCAGCAGCAGACGAGAGCCGAGGGCCCGGGTGGCGGATGGCGAGGCCGGGGCACGAGGGCTGAGAACGGCAGGGCATGCGTGTTCCCAGCCAGTCCCCCGGGCCCTGCGGAACGTGAGCACTGCAGTTCTGCCGGGGCCGCTGCTCCTCCTGCACCGCACACCCCACCCCTTCCTACCTGCAGGGTTTTCAGTAAACACTGTACCTGCATTTCCTCAACACTAAGGCTGTGCTGACTGCCCCGCGCCCACCCGCACGGCCCCCTCCGAGGCTGGGACCCTCTGCAGCTCCCACCACCCGCCCAGGAGAGCACCCACCTCCTCCGGAGCCCATGCGCGCAGCTCAGGCACAAGCCCAGGCCAAGGGCCCACAGGAGGAGTCGGCCAGGAGCTGCCGGCTTCATCACGGAGCCCGGGGGAGCCACGCAGTGGGGGCCAAAGGCTCGGCTTCCAAAGCCCACAGGGCAGACGGTCCAGCCGGCCCTGCGTGTCCCTGAAACTGGACACATTTCCTTAAGCGCCGGCCAGTGGAGGCGAGCAGCTCCGTCAGTTCCCGCTGACCAGACCCCCGCTGCTCATCCCCCGCCTGAGCCGGCCTTCCTGAGTGGACCACAAGCCCAGACCCCACCAGCAGCGCCCGCGTCCCTGCCAGCACTGCTACCCCCACTGTTCCTCCTGCCTCATTGTTACAGGAGCCTGGGCCCTCCTGGGACGTTTGTGCTTAGAGACCAGTCCTGTGCCTGTGGCCACAGGGGAGCCACCGCTGCTGGGCCTTTCAAGGCCAGGAAACGCGTTTCATTGGTTTGGTTTGGTTTAAGGGAGACACATCAGAGTTCACACTGACATTTATGAATAAATTCAGGATGAAAGGGCTTTCTCATTTGGTCTTATTTGCATATATCGTTGCGTCTCCCCTTCATCTCTTTTCAAGCATTTAATTGGCCACAGATTAAAGAGGGGACGCTCCTTAGTCTAAATGCTACGTGCTCCTTCTTCAAACACAGCCAGTCCTTCCAGTCATTTCCCCTGCCGTTGGCCCGGGAGCTAATTAGACCTCAGGGTAGTTCACCTGGACCTGATCCAGGTGAGGCTCACCTTGTCCTGACCAGCTCGCCGAGGCTGTGTCACAGGTGCAATGCCGTCCTCATCCTGGGAAGCCTGTGCTGTGGGTGGTCGCTGGGCTCGGCACGGCGGGAACCTGTGCACCTGTGTGTTCATACAGCCTCGCACGGGCAGGGGACACGTGACGAGTGGGCCGTGGGACGAGAAGAGGCTGCGTCCTGCTGGACCAGCAGCAGACGAGAGCCGAGGGAATAAATAAATAAGTAAATAAGTGGCCAGGGTGCATCATGGCAGCTCCTGCGTTGAGCGTCTGCCCCCTGATGGTCAGTGCACGTCATAGCTACTGGTCAGATAGACAGACACTTAGCCCTTTATATATACAGTGGGGCCTTGACTTACGAGTGTCCCGACTAACGAGTTTTTTGAGATACCAGCTGTCTCTGGGCAGATTTTTTGCATTGAGTTGATAGAGTAATTTGAGTTAACGAGCTCCTTAACGAGCTCTGTCTTGGAACGAATTAAACTCTTAAGTCAAGGCCCCATTGTATATAGATAAAAAATAAGTAAATCCTGTACTACATCCATCAAAGCACAACTCCTGCTTCATCTTTCTCTTGAAACTGGACCCCTTCACCCATTCCCGGTTCCTGGTCTGAGCTCTGCCTTTGCTCGCGCGCTGGTTGGCGGTGGGGCTGTCTGCACCCGAGGCCATTGACCAGCATTGCTGGCTTCTCCCCGCGAGATGCCAGGAGCAGCCCCTTCGCTGTGACAACCAGAGATTGCAGATGTCCCCGAGGAGCCACGTCGCCCCCTGGAGAGCCACAGCTCCGGCTCTTCTGGCTTCAAATGCCCGGCACCACCACCGACCCAGTTCAAGAAGCCAACCAGCCGAGGACGGCATGTGGCTGTGGTGCAGGCATGCACTTCAGAGGGCTGTGCTCTCGCACCTCTGAGGAGTTCTGAGAACCCGTGAGCACGTTTGTTAGTCAACATCAAACATTCTTATCCTAAGTTCAAATAACTGTAAAGAGTATATTTTCTGCTGTCTTATACATTATAGACATGCTTGAAACATACTTCATTGAGAACCTTAAAGTGAAAAGAACTTATTACATTTGTGGAGAATGTCATTAGAAACCTAAGCTTGTCTGGAATGAACCCATCAGCCAACTCAGGCTACTGTGAACCCAAACTATTAAAAAAAGAAGACACCAGTAGGAAGGGCTCCTGGTGGCTAACTGGGCTGAAAAATAAAGCAAATAAGAATAATAATAAGCAGAGCCTAGCAGCCAGTTCTGCCCAGGGGCTCTCACTCAGACTACAATTCCGGGAGAAGCGCTGCCTGCACTGTGTCCGCCGCCCGCTCTGGGAGCAGAGGGAGCCGACTGGCGGCGGGGCAGAGCCCAGCAGAACCCAGCGGAGCCCAGCGGAGCCCAGCGGAGCCCAGCAGAGCCCAGCGGAGCCGAGCTG